AGTCGCAAGCGACTCGATGGCACATAACAACAACAAATCCATTATACTGACTTTATATACATTGTGTTTTATAGAATTATTCATGTACTTTGTGTTTTCTATAATTAATTACTGTTGATCAATGCCTTTTATCACTCCATCTTATCAAATCCTGATTGCACCTTCATTCCTCTAATCTCTGCTGCCACTGTGTTTCCCTTCTGACAGTAATTATACCTGGTGTTTGCTTACAGATCCTTAGTTTCTCTTATGTAAATCTCCTTTACTATACTGTGTCTGATTTTTCCTACTTTTATAAAATTATTAAAGTCAATGTATTAATTTCTTTGTCTACTAGCAATTTTTTAAAAAGATTTGATGATTTTAACTTTTTTTTAGCCTCTGAAATAGTGACAGGGTAACAGAACTGCTTGTGATTCAAAAAGTGGTGTACATGTCATAGGAGTAAAAAGGTGGTAATTCAACAATAGTATACCTGCTATAACCTGGGAAGTAATTGTTGTTGTTGTTGTTGTTATGTGCCATCGACTCATAGTGACACAATGTACAACAACCCTAAACCTTGCTCTGTCATGTGCTAATGTTACTGCCTCTAACACACCTGCCCCTGCTACCCTAGTCACTAAATCTAACCGTGTCATCAAGGGTCTTCCTCTCTGGTGCTGATAATTTTAGTGGGTGTAATATTTTCTTAGGAAAAATTACCAAGCTGCTGCTGCTGTTTAGACACTATGACATCAACTAGGACTTATGGCAACCCTGTGAACAACCAATCTGAACCTTGCCTCATCCTTTTCCAGCCTCACAATCTCTGCCATGCTTAAGCCCAGTTTTTACAGTCACTATGTTAATCCATCTTGTTGAAGGTCTTACTCTTTCTCTCTGATCCTCTTTCTCAGCATGATATCTTAAGAAGACAAAAAAATGCAGATGAACGCTTAGACTAAAGAAGAGGAAGAGTCATGAAATAAAACTTAAACGTTTTTAAAGCCTGTCTTGTTGGAGAGTGAATAACCTTGTGTTTGACGCCAAGAAGTTTGGTCTGGATCTTTATATAGAAATTAAGATGTGAACACATTCAAAATAATTTAATAGCTATCAGTGTTATCTGAAAATGGTAATAGTTTTCCTAAGGCGTTAAAGTGTCCTGTGTTCTGTCATAGACCAAACTGTCACCTAGCATCGATCACAAGGGTCAATCTATCAACGAAATATTTTACTTTTAAAATGATGCTATGGATTCTTTTTCTAGAAACAAAGATGCATTTTTATTCAAAATGAGATATTTTAACTACTTTCTATATGGTACATTTTTGTCATCCATTATTTTTCTACTGAATAAAGCATTTATGTACATTGTACAAGGAACATAGTTGTTCATTTTAGAGGCCCATATTTCTTCCTGTTCTTTTGTTTTGTTTATTTTTCACTAATTTCTCACTCCTTCAACTTAAAGCTAAACAATAGAGATGAAAATGCTCTTTTAAAACAATTTATAGGTTCTCTTTTGGCAGTTTTTAAATAACATAACGGATGTAATTTTTAGCGGTCTCATTTGTCGAGTTTGTCCTCTGCTGTTTCTCTGTGATAGATCTGGGCTCATAAATTCGCTCCAATTTTTTTCTCTGACGATCTTAATAGTTTAAGGTTTTATGTGCAGGCCCTTTAGGTATTTTTTGGATATAGTATGAGATATGTATCTTGTTCAGTTTTCTACAAATAGATACCCAGTTTTAATGGCACTATTTGTTAAAGAAGCTTTCTTTGCTCCATTTAATGAATTTCATCTCTTTGTGAAAAATCAGTTACCCATAAATGGAAGGATTTATTTCTGGATTCTTAATTCTGTTTCAATGGTCTGTGTGTATGTCGTTGTTACGGAGAATGTTTCCATTTTTCAGTTCTAACAGTGTCTTCCAAAAGAGTAAAGAGAACCTGGAGGGAGAGAGCAAGGAGGAAAGTGTGCAACAGTGAATGAATGGAAATCCAAAGTCTCTGTAAACTTTCATTAAAATTAATTTTTTAAAAAGTAAAGAGAATCTATAGATTGGGGAGAAATTTTGGCATTGATACACCTAACAAAGTATTCCACTCTAAATCTTTTGTGACTGACTTCTGTAAATCAGCATAATTTGTTCTGGTTTCATCCATATTGTGCAGTATTTCACAAATTTTTGATAGTTTTTTAGAGATGCATAATAGTCCATTATCTTAATATTTAGCCATTGCCCCATTATATTGTTGCACTGTATTATTTCCAGCTCTTTGTAATTATAACTAATGCTTAAGTAAACATGAGTGTGCTCCCTGTTTCTTAACACTTTGCGGCAAACAAATGATGGCAAATGTGTTTCTAAGCATGGTTGTCAATTTAAAAAGTGTGCGGCTATGAAAAGTACCAGGTCATTACCAAGATGTAGGGATGTAGAAAGAGAAGAGGAAAAACTAATACATAGATAAGTTGAAAAGACAATAAAAGACTTAAGTATAAATTGTAATAATTACTTCTAATAATCAATTGCAATTAGTGTTATAGAACAAAGTATATGAATAATTGAATGAGCTACCAATATGACATGCAAACTTTCACCCAAATAAAATGTAAAGAATACAGTTATCTTTCTCATAAATCTGCCACAGAAACTAGTTCTATATTGAGTAGAATTCCTGTCTCAAACTTGTACGAGCATTACAATGAAAAATATCTGACACATTAATAACACATTTTAATTTTGTGGGTTTTTTAAGGGCTTTTGAGCTTTCACGTATCACATAAAAAGAAAACACCAAGCATTTACCATAATATAAATTTTAAAAATTGAGTTCTGCTTTAAAGCAGTGTTGTGATTATAAGGAAAAGCTTTTCTTAAATAGATTCTAGAACAAAAAAGACAAAATATGACTGTGGTTAGAAATCGGTTAGTTTCTCAGTCACTTTTGGACTTTTCCAAATTCTTTTTACTTACCAGGTATAAATCCCTTCTTTTAACTCTTTTTTTTTATTCACTGGTTTCCATGATTAACTAGTCGACATAGAAAAGAGCAGCCAACAGACAGTAATGCTTTGTTCTTCCCAGCTACTCTAGGGCCCCTACTGCTGATTTCTGAAGAAAGAGAAAAAGAGGTACTTGGGGATAAAAAGAGCAGCATTTCAAAGAGGAGCAGAACGATTGTGGGAAAGCATGTGACTGTGATTCATATTTCTAAGGAGTTAAAATCTTTTTTTTTTTTTTTTTTTTTTTGGTGTGTGTGTCCAGATCTGTTTTTCCCTGTTTTGAGAATAATAATATTATAAATAATGTGATTTTAATTATCTGCAAGCTGTGAGAGTGGCTTGGGAAAAGAAAAACCTTTAGTCCTGAAGTTTCACTGTTAGATGAGGTCTGAGTTGAATGGAATTTGATGGCATTTAAATAAAAAAATTGGATGAAGGATTTTAATAATTTAGGTGTTATAGAAAGATAATAGTATCTATGTTTATTGTCACAAATACGGAAGTTTGAGTTTTGGGGATTATATTGGTGTTTTTGTTTTGTTGTTCATTGGTTTGGTGAGCTGGTTTGGGTTTTTGTTTTTGTTTGGATTATTTGGGGGGGGTTGGGGTTTTTTCTGTTCTTGGTTTTTTGCCACTCCCTTAAATACTGTTTGGTTTGTATTTTTAAATTATTACTGTGAGTGAAACTTTGGAAAGGCTAAGTTCGATGAGACATGCTTTAATAGATAGAAAAACCACATTAGTGTATTTCAGTTTTTGACATTAGTATGTTCTTTGCAAGTATCAAATCTTAACCACAGGTGAATTTCTTATAATCTATTTTAAATACAGTTGCTAATAAACTATAACTCATGACTTTGTGTTTTTACATACATTTAGATCAAGAAATTTTCCTCAGTTCCTTAGAATATATATATATATGAGGAAAAGTTGGTGACATCAATGTTAGGTGAGCATAACATGGACCTTTCTTTTAATCTATAATTCTAGGACGACATAGACAGCCTAAACCCAGTTCTCAGGGACAACCCGCAACTTCATGAGGAAGTGAAAGTCTGGGTAAAGGAACAAAAAGTTCAGGAGATTTTTATGCAAGGTAATTATTTTGAAGTTATGCATTGTTTATGGGAACTAGGTAACTTTTGGTTGGTCTAAAATGTGCAATATAAGCGGAAGAGCAAATTTCATATTTTTAGTTACTTATATTTGAGGAGATAATGGCAGAATTAAAATCATTGCATTAGGAGGTTTATTTCTGTAATTTATTAAGTTATCCAGGTCAGATGGTTGACAAAGTATTTTAGCCACACAGGTGTTTTGTTCATAGGAAATTTTCCATATTATAGAATGTGTTAGGTGTGTCCTTCCTGGAGAAGGAAGCGTTGTTTGTAGTAGAGGGTTGCCCAAAGCCACATTCAGTTCCCTTTGAAGAATGCTGTTGGTATGTGATAAAAGTGGCCTATTTCAGTGTGCCTTCCTCAGTTGTTAGCACAATAGTAGTCCTAGTTTTTTGTTTTAAGTCAGCTACAGGAATGTCTACTATATGTGACCATTAAACCAATGATGTTTTGTAGTTATTAGTGATTGCTCTTTCTATGACAGTGTATAAACATAAAACCATGAATTGATGGCATGGAGTATTGATAACGTTATTTTTAAAAGTACTGTGATGTTAAATTCTCATACTTAATCTCACCTCAATTTCCATGTGATACAAGTTAAGCATTAGTAGTAATATCTCAAAATAACACCTGTTGTGCTCTCTCGGTATTTGCTGCAGCAGATTACCTGTAAACTTTTTAAAGCAAATTAGCTATTGAACTTTCTATTAGACATAATTTATAACAAATACATAAATGATAATTTTTTCCTGTGAATTTCCATGTATCTACACCCTGACCTCAGTAACTATCAAGCTTTGACTGTTATTACAGCCCCATTAATTTTCTTCTAGCTTATTATATCTTTCCTCTAATTTATTATTTCTTTCTATTAATTTTTTTAAACAAACCATCATACAGTTAAAATAACTGAAAAATTAATAATATAACTTGTGGAATGGTTAGGTTCATCTTTTCATTTGTTCAAAACTCACAGATGCTTTTAAATAGATTTTGTTTATTAATTTTCAACCTGATAACAAACTTTGTTCATTCTAATTGCTTGGCAGTTCTTCTCTTCCATAACTTTTTATCTCTGTCTCTCTGTATGTCTGTGTCTGTCTTTGTGTGTCTGTGTGTGTGTCTGTGTCTCTCTGTATGTCTGTGTCTCACGCACGCGTGTTCTCTCTCCCCCCCCAACTCCCCCACCCCCTTGCAATTTATTTGTTAAATAAATGAAACTAGTAAATTTTTTCCAAATTTGTTTCTTCATCATCTACTTAGAGGTAAAAGAAAAGGCCTTTTATGCAGAAAAAAATCCCATGCAGAATTGTCTGAAATACTCTTAAAAGATGGTGGGAATAAACCAGTATAGATCATCTACTAAAAAATTGAAAATTATTCCAATTTGGAATTACTGTATTTTCTATATTTAGGAAGAAAAATCAGATTAATACTTTTTTCTAGTAAACATGGACATACATAATGGATTATGCTTATCAAGTAACATTCATGAGTCACCTCCTCCTTTATTTCCCAGCCAGTCAACATCTTACTTTTTCAATATGAAAGCATTTGATTTCTTGTATAAATCTTAGAGTAATTAATAAAAAAATACATATTTTTCTTTAATTTTAGGCTGTTACTGGAGTTAATTTTTTTTTTAATGGCAAAAATTAAACCACTACTATTTCAGACTGTTTGAATCTATTTCAGCCTTAAAAGAAAGATTCTTAAGGGAGGGAAAAAATTAACCCGTCACTTCCATAAATTTTATGAATAACAACACTTAATTGATAGTTGGAGAGGATTAATTAGCTTTTACAGATTATGTAAACATTTTGTAAATTAGGTATGTATATTACTATTATTGTTTAGCAAAAGCCATTTTTGGTACCACTCTCAAAATACTTCCTATTAAACATTCAGGTATTTGATAGCCTTTTTATGTCTGGGAGTTGAAAACATATTTGTCTCCAAAATCCTCTTTTGTGGAGTGACTTTTGTAGTAATAAGCATATTACACTAAGATCTCTCCTCAGTGCTGTCAGTTGTATCCACTTATTCTGAATTTCTGACTTACTGGATTTCTGAAGCTGTAGATCAAACAGGAGGTTGCCCACCTTCCACTGAGCTGCTGGTGGGTTTGAATCATCAAAGAGGTGTGGCCTTTGGGCTAGCAGCACAATTACCTGTGGGCTCCAAAACCAGAACTCTCTGTGTGTGTAGCCTTTATTATTATATAGACTTTATAAAATAATTATAGGGGTGTGTGTGTGTGTGTGTAATTATTTGAAAAAGCTTGGTCCAAAGTATACCAGTGTATTAGTATATAGACATTCTTATTGAGATATTTATGATTTCTAAACATATATGTTTTTAAGACTTTGGTCCACTTTAAGAGTTGTTAAAGAAGACTCAAAATTTATAGTTGATTGTGGTAAAGTTTTGTCAACCAAAAGACCCAGGGAAGAAGTTACAAAGTGTGTTTCCATTTTAGCCTTGTTCTCTAACATTTATATAACCTTATTACTTTATAGACCAAGTTTATTTAAGTTTCTTTACTACCCTCTTAACTCATGATCCTAGAAATACTAAATTGTCTTTCTGACTTAATTTTTCTTTTCTTCTTTTTTTTTCTTTCTCACCGACTCAAGATATTTACATTTAGTTTAATGGTAATAGTGATCTGGCTCTAAAATATATTCATTTGCCACCTAAAAAAATTTTTGGAAAGTTGATAGTGTGGGTATTACTCACCAATCATACAGCTCATGCCTGTTTTAAAAGTTCTTAAATGAAAATGTCTTTTAAGATACCCTTATTTCTTTTTTCTTTTCTTTTTTTTTCAGTTTGAAGATACCCTTATTTCTTATGTTTGTTTTTTCAAAAGGTCCTTATTCCTTAAATGGATACCGAGTGAGAGTATACAGGCAAGACTCTGCCACCCAGTGGTTTACTGGCATAATTACTCATCATGACCTCTTCACTCGCACCATGATCGTTATGAATGATCAGGTAAATAGTCCAAGTATTGTGAAAGTGCTTTGGTGATGTAGTCAATCTGAAGTTTTACTGCTAACATAAGACTACCACTTCAAATCTACTAGTGTTTCTGTGTGAGAGAAATGGACAGTTTCTTCCCAGTGATTTACAGCCTCTGAAAACCTACTTAAAGATCAGTTATGAGTCATAATCGACTTGACAGCACCTAATGATAAAAACCGGTGGTTATTTCGTTTTGGGGTTTTTTTTTTTTTACTTTTTTTCAAATTCATATGTCTCATTCCCTCAAAATAATGCATCTCTGAGTTTTTAATGTATTTAAATGTATCACATATGTTCTCTGGAGAGCATGTTATATATCATGAAGATTGGAGGACAGGGAGGACAAAAACTTGTTGGTATGGAGTCAGTTCTGACATAAAGCAACCTTATATAACAGAGTAAAACTGCCCCATAGTTTCTAAAACACACAGGAGCAGACTGCCATTTGTTCCTGACTTAATATCTTACTGATTGGCTCAAACCCTTTCAGTCAGCCACTGAGTCCTTAACTTAAAAAAAAATATTTTTAGAGAATACCCACAAAAACTCATTGTTAGAGAGTTGGTTCAGACTCATAGCTCCCCTCCATTAGGTTTCTAAAGCTTCAAATTGTAGTAATAGGTGAATGCCTATTTTTTTTCCTCCCAGGGCACCATTGAAGGATCCCAAATACTGAGCTGTGCAGCATCTTGGTTAGCAGCGCAGATTCTCACTACTAACTAGAATTCCCCTGAGTGCTTAACTAGTGATATTTGGCCGTTGGTTAAATCAGTTTTCTGAAATAGAGACATCAAGCTCTTTGCGCCTTTTTTGTTTTGTTTTGGTTTGGTTTTTAATGCAAACAGTACTGCCTTACCCAGGAGGAGATTGCCCTTCCTTCTCCAGCAGAGCGTCTGGTGAATAGGCATCAAACTCTTATTGATTACATTTAATAAGTTCTTAGGTTAACTAAAATTTCCCAAATAAAATGTCTCACTAATAAAATGAATACAGTTAGTAATTCTTGTCCCATAAGTCCCAGAATTCATAATGCTCACTGTTTTAAAATGAATCTTAATGTTATAGGCTTCATATGTGTATTTTTAAATAGGATCTGAAAGATTTTAAACCATTTTCCTTGTTGTTTCTGTGGGTTTCTGTTTTTATTCTTTTTGGACTGTTGATGAGATGGCAAGCGGAACAAAAATCTTTTAAAGCCTTAGCTTAATTTTATTAAGAAGGGGGAAAAATTACTTTCTTCCACATTGTAGGAGAGTATATGAATAAATATGCCTTGGTTAACATTTGAAAATTTTAAGTTTCATCTTAATGAAGTAAAAAATTACTTGGAAATCTTTAAAAGTAATTTTTAAGATTCCCTTTAGCCATTTTAATAATATTCATCTGCATAATTTTTGTCAAAAGTTTCCTTTGTAAATTTCTTTTTCATTTTAAGGAGCTGCTTTTAAAAAATTACTTGACTTTTATAAGTACAGTGTATAATCGTTACCTTGGCACTTGGACTTTTTTTTTTTTCTAAAATTCTTGTGAACATATTTTGCTTTTTTAAGTCTTGATCAACAGTTGAAAACAGTATGGCTTTCAGAAAATTAAGATTTTAGTAATGATTAAAAGTGATTTATAAATTTGACACTACAAGTTAGATAAAAAACTGATTAAATATTTCTACTAATTTGAAAAATAGTGCTTATTATTATTTTGATTAACTGAGAGGGCTTAATAGTTTCCTTTTTTTGTTTCTTTATGTTGTTTATCATTTAGGTACTAGAACCACAGAATGTCGATCCTTCTATGGTTCAAATGACCTTTCTAGATGATGTTGTTCATTCTTTGTTAAAAGGTGAAAATATTGGTATTACATCACGACGTAGGTCTCGTGCCAGTCAAAATAGCAACACTATTCACGTATGTATGTTATTACTGATGAGTTACTGTATTTTCTTTTTAACTACTTAAAATTAGTCCCTAAACTGTTAAATTGTTAACTGGTTATTTTAGGGTCATTATACACGCGCCCAAGCAAACAGTCCCAGACCAGCAATGAACTCCCAAGCCTCAGTACCAAAACAGAGTCCACACCAGCAACAAAGAAATACTCGTCCAAATAAGAGGAAGGGATCAGATAGCAGCATACCAGATGATGAAAAGATGAAGGAAGAAAAATATGATTATATAATGCGAGGAGGTAGGATTACATTGTAAAAGGAGTAAAACAGTGTCTTTCTAAAATGCTGATTTAATGTTGATATGAAAATAAGACCTTTTTTTTTTAAACCTTACAGAAAATGCTAAAAGTAAAAATAAACACTTGATGAATAAAAGAAGGAAGCCCGAGGAGGATGAAAAGAAACTAAATATGAAAAGACTGAGAACTGAAAATGTTTCCGATCTTTCTGAGAGTGACTCGGAAAATTCAAAGAAGAAAATAATAGAAAATCCCCCAGAGCAACAGTCAGAGAATGAGTTGAAAAATAAAAACACTTCAAAGATAAATGGAGAACAAGGAAAACACCACAATAACGAGAAAGCAGGGGAACAGACACTAACAAATAGTCAAGCTGCATGGGATCAAATACAGGAAGATAAAAAAAATGAAGAAATAGAGAGGCTGAAAGTAGTTGACTCTCAACTTCAAGATAATATGATTATACATTCATCAGAACAGGGCACACTTTCTGATCATAATCCTAATGATATACTTCTTCCGGAGTGCAGTATGGAGAAGACACATACAATGGAATTAGTACCAAAAGAAAAGTTTGTATCCAGACCACCTACACCAAAATGTGTTATTGATATTACAAATGACACTAATTCACAAAAGGCGGCTCAGGAAAATTCTAATACCTTTGGCCTTTCATCACTTCAGAAAATAGATCCTAATGGTAGTGACTCAAAACACTCTATTGCAAATGTAAAATACTTGGAAACAACAAAACAAGATTCTGATCAGAGCTGGGTTAGTGATGTAGTTAAAGTGGATTTAACACAATCAAATGCAAATACTTCTTTAGGGAATGATCACCTGAACTTAGATAAAGAGAAAAGTCAGTATGTCTCATATATGTCATCTTTAACCGCAGTTTCTGTAACAGAAGAGAATAAACTTCGTAAGCGAAGTCCACCCCCTGAGGCTATAAAATCAAAACTTAATTTATCAGCCGATGCTCCTAAGACAAAATCTAATCCCTCGCCTGAAGTTGTTAAATCCAAAATTTCCCATTCTCCTGAGTCTACAAAGCCTAAGACTACTTACATGAATAATCAAGCTGCTGGTGAGAGAAGACTGATGAATAAAGTAGAACATGAATTATCAAGATGCAGCTTTCACCCAGTTTCTACTCGAGTCAATACATTGGAAGCTACAAAGAGCCCTTTAATCATTGATAAAAATGAACATTTCACAGTTTATAGAGACCCTGCACTTATTGGGCCAGAAACAGGAGCAAATCACATTACTCCTTTCTTAAACCAGCATCCGTTTCCTCTTCATTCCTCATCTCATAGAACCTGTTTAAATCCAAGTACTCATCATCCTGCCTTAACTCCTACACCCCACTTATTGGCAGGGCCATCCAGTCAAACTCCATTACCTCCTATTAACACCCACCCACTGACTAGTGGCCCACACCATTCTGTTCATCACCCGCATTTAATTCCTACTGTCTTACCAGGAGTGCCTCCTGCCTCCTTACTGGGTGGCCATCCACGACTAGAGACTGCTCATGCCAGCAGCTTAAGCCACTTAGCACTAGCACACCAGCAACAGCAGCAGTTATTACAGCACCAGTCACCTCATCTTCTTGGACAAGCCCATCCTTCTGCTTCATATAATCAACTTGGACTTTATCCAATTATTTGGCAGTATCCAAATGGGACACATACATACTCAGGACTTGGTCTACCCTCTTCTAAATGGGTTCACCCAGAAAATGCAGTTAATGCAGAAGCTTCCTTAAGGAGGGTAAGTTATGCCAGTATGGTTTTTGTTTGTTTGTTTTAATACCTGTTTTGTCTCTTTTAAGATCATTTGTTAGTATAAATTATGCTTACATATTTCAAATAGGATTTTTAGTGAAACCTTTGATACTTAATAATGACATACTAGACTTAGAAATTGAAATCTAGTAAAGTCTGTTTAAAAGTTACTTTTTAGTGCTCAGTTCGGCAGCACATACACTAAAATTGGAATGATATAGAGAAGATTAGCATGGCGTCTATGCAAGGATGACACTGAAATTTGTATTCGTTATTTTTTTTAATTCTTTACTGTAGAATTGCTCAGAACGTCACTTCTGTTTTAAAATAATTGATAACTGAGCAAGAAAACATACTTTCGATTATAAAGTTTTGCTTTCGTAAAAATTTCTTAAACCATGAGAAAAGGTACTTTTTAGATTGTTCCTACTATTAAGTATGGATATCTTTATAGCTTTAATACATAGCTCAATTTGCACAACTAAATTTGTGTAAGTGTGACATGTAGGTCAAAATTTATAGAAATTTTAGCAGTCTCGTCTTTAAAAAATTTTTTTTTTAAATTTTAGCAGTCTTGTTTGTATGTCTTATCAAAATAGTTTTAAAATACAAATTGTCTCATTTCACCCTGATAAATTCTATTGCCAGTCCTTTACTGGGTATGACTCCAAGCCCCCTTGCTGTTCTTTTTTTTTTTTTGGAACCCACTGTCATTGGACTAAAATTTAAAATGAGCTTCTGTCGATATAAACAGGATGAAGGTGATCGGGGTGGGATGGAAGTTGACTTCATGACACATGCCTTTAGAAAATTCTTTCTAATTTTTTTCTTTTACATTTTGAGGATAATACCAGACATACGAGGAAAAAAAAATTTAGGAATGAATGTCACTGTTAAATTTATAGAGACAACATAAACCTGCTTTTCATATACACCTGGGAAGCTTTTATCACTTTCTTAATATTATCTTTTTTGCTGTTACTGCCATTTTGGGTGGTAATCTACAGTATACAAAAGTTGCAATTTGGAAACAGTGCTAGTGAGCTTCTTATTATTTTAGGAACAGTTGCTTACACACAGCTTTAGGAGTAGTAAGAGTGAATAAAAGGTAGATGTTTTTAATGCCCAGTGATCTTCATGGAATCCCTTCTGGGAAGCTGTATTGGCATTTAACGTTCATGAGTTATGAAAAGAGTCCCTGGTTGGGATGTATGACGACATTACTCGCAAAAGGCACCCAGAAGTTGGGTAATGCAATATGAAATGTTAATAATTTTGAGTAATATTTTTGGTGGCTTATTCTCATTACAAATACTAGATCGTTTGGCTATACTTTTATAGGCACTTCAGTCTTCTCTCAGTGTTGTCAACTTTGAATGCCATATATTATTTTACACCAACTTTCCACATTTGATGTTGGAGCTTCTGAGTTACAGAATTTTGTTTCTTTATGATAACATTGAACTTGCTGGCGAGTGTCAGCATTAAGTAGTTGAGGCCAGTGAAGTGTAATTAATCACTTAAATAGTGTGATTTAAATTTGCCAGAATAAAATAGTGCAACAATTAATGAATGGAAATCCAAAATATCTAAATGTTCCTTAAAATTAATAAAATTTAATTTTAAAAAATTTGCCAGATTAAAATCAGTCTTGATGAGTCAAATACCCAGTTCACATTTACTTTTACTTTGCCTCTTTATCATTAGATATATCATGAATATAGCTATTGCTTCGAATTAGTCTTCATAAGGCAGGCCAGAAGTACACAGAGAAAACAGCAAATAGTTTTGAACTTTTTTTTATTGATTTGGTGACAAACTCTGTTTTGAGAACTTGCTGTAAGAAGGCATCATTTTTCAGTATGTCCCATGGCCTCTTAGCCCAGCTTTTGTGTTTATAAAAACATAAAATGTTTTTTATTCATTGATCATAAACTTGTTAAATGACAAGCATATCTAATTTTTATTCATTATATAAGATAATGAAAATATTATACCCTAATATTTGTGTGGGGGATAATCAATAAAATTAAGCAGTACTACATTAAATTATTTTATATGACATTGTCTTATTGCCATAGTTTATTTAAAGTTAAGATCTCTGGATTTTATTAATCTCCACCCTTTTAAAACCTATTTGAATTACCCTTTGGAGAAGTGTGTTCTTTCATTTATAAGAATCTGACTATAATCCATATTTTTAATCTGAATTTTATAGCAACATGTATGCGTTGGAATATCACATAGTTTGTCACTGTTCATCTTGAGTGGTAAAATTTACTCTTTTTTGTTAAAACCAAAGACGGTTGTGTTTTCTATGTATTTGTTTTCTCTTCCCTGTAGACAAACTATGTATTTCTTATCCCTGCCCTATTGACAAACATATCCTAGAAAAATGCCAGATCATAACACAGATACAATTCATGAACATGATATTGAGTAGTTAAATGTCTCATTAGTCATAAAAATTGATCAGAAAATTTAATTATGAGTAAAGCGAGATATTGATAATGTAGAAAATTAACAATTTTTAATTCCCTTGTAATATATTTTAGAAATAACAAATCCTGTCTGTTTCTCTGTTAACCAAGTGTTCTTTTTCTTTCCTATAAACAAAGTAATGTTACAATTTGTAAAATAGTATTATGTATCTTGAAATCTTCCACTATCAGTAGTTAGCATTTTAAATCTGATGAAAAGTGTATGAAATTGTGAGTATATTTGACTTCAGATGAATTTTAAAAAAGAGTAATGTTCTGTGTGTTTATATGTTGCTGTTAAAGGCCACTTGTGATACTGTGTTTAGATTTTTCTGGTAACTAAAGTCTGGTTTTGGTTTTTCTTTTTTAAATAGAATTCTCCCAGTCCTTGGTTACATCAGCCCACTCCTGTGACTTCAGCAGATGGCATTGGTTTACTTAGTCACATTCCTGTCAGGCCTTCCAGTGCGGAGCCTCATCGACCTCTTAAAATTACAGCGCATTCCAGCCCACCATTGACAAAAACCTTAGTAGATCATCATAAAGAGTAAGCTTAAAACTTAAAATACTTTCAGTTATCATTTTTCTTATTTTCTCATTTACCTAATACTAGGATTTGAAAAGTCATTCAGTTTCTATTAATATAACTTCTGATTCGTTCATTAAGAATACAAAGATGTTTTTCTTTGATAATGGAATGTTAATACATAGAAACTAACTTTGTAGTATATAAAAGTGTTTACAAAATCTTTTGTGTGTTGTTTTATTTTAGAGACTTGGAGAGGAAAGCTTTTATTGAACCGTTACGATCTGTTACCTCTACATCAACAAAAAGTGACCTGGATCCAAGTAGATCTCAGACTGGAAAAGATGGTCTTTTGCATAGGCATTTTGTGGATCCATTATTGAATCAATTACAGAGGCCACCCCAGGAGACAGGAGAAAGATTAAACAAATATAAGGAAGAACACCGTCGAATTCTTCAAGAAAGTATTGATGTTGCTCCTTTTACAACTAAAATCAAAGGGCTTGAGAGTGAAAGAGAGAATTATTCCAGAGTGGCATCATCATCTTCTAGCCCTAAAAGCCATGTTATCAAACAAGACAAAGATTTAGAACGTTCAGTATCTGATCTTTATAAAATGAAGCACCCAGTGCCTCAGAGTCTGCCCCAAAGTAATTATTTCACTACATTGTCCAATAGCGTAGTCAATGAACCACCAAGATCCTACCCAGCCAAAGAGGTCTCCAGTATTTACACAGATAAGCAGAGCAGTGCTCTTGTAGCAGCAAGTAATCCTCAAACTCTGAATTCATTTATATCATCACTTTCAAAACCTCCACCTTTGATTAAACACCAGACTGACAATGAAAGCTTAGTGACAGGCAAAATCCCAGATCATCTTCATCAAATTTCATCTCATTCAGTCACCACCTTCCGAAATGACAGTAGAAGTCCTACTCATTTGACAGTTTCTTCTACAAATACACTCCGAAGTATGCCAGCATTACATAGAGCACCAGTATTTCACCCACCAATCCATCACAGTGTGGAAAGAAAGGAAAGCAGCTATAGTAATCTTTCTCCTCCAACTTTAACCCCAGTGATGCCAGTAAATGCTGGTGGGAAAGTTCAAGAATCTCAAAAGCCTCCAACTCTAATACCTGAACCAAAAGATTCTCAAGCAAATTTCAAGAGTTCTTCTGAACAGAGTTTGACAGAAATGTGGAAATCTAATAACCTCAACAAAGAGAAAGCTGAATGGCATGTGGAAAAAAGCAATGGAAAGACACAGGCTGCTATGGCATCTGTTATTGTACGTCCACCTTCTAGTACAAAATACGAGAATATGTCAGCAGTGCAGTTACCTTTGAAAGAAAGACTTGGTGAAAGATCTTCAGCTGAGACAAACCAAACAGATTGTCTCAAACCACCAGAATCTGGAGAGACTGGAAGAATCATGTTACCAAATGTGAATTCAGATACTATTCACATAAAATCTGAAAAAATCTTTCCGTCTGCCTCACAGGGTACTATTCCCAGTTCAGTCATGTCAGCTGTAAATACAGTAGCTAGTACCAAAATGGGTATATTCACATCTGTTGTCACTACGACCACTGGCTCCAGCGGGGGTGGTTCAGAAGTAATTTACTCTTTATCAAATAGCAATTTGGCATCTACATCCTTAGAATGTACCTCTTCAAAAAATACCAGTCAGTCAGTGGTTCAGTCACAAGAGTGCAAAGTTAGCAACACAGCTTCAGTTACACCAGTTAGTAGTAAGACAGGAAGTGGTGTTCAGCTCAGCTCTGGGTTCCCAGGCACAAGTGATTTTATCCATTTAAAAAAGCACAAGGCAGCATTGGCTGCTGCTCAATATAAAAGTAGTAATGTCAGTGAGTCTGAGCCTAATACTGTGAAAAATCAGACATCTTCAGCCTCCCTTTCCTTGGAAAGCACTGTGGTCTGTAGTACAATAAACAAAGCAAACTCTGTAGGAAATGGGCAACCTTCCCAGACATGTCAACCAAACTACCATACTAAACTGAAAAAGGCCTGGCTTACTAGACATTCAGAAGAAGATAAAAATACTAATAAAATGGAAAATTCAGGGAACTCTGTGTCAGAAATTATTAAGCCATGTTCTGTAAACTTAATAGCCTCTACATCAAATGATATACAAAATAATGTAGATAGTAAGATCATGGTTGATAAATATTTAAAAGATGATAAAGTCAGTAGGAGAAAAGCCAAAAGAACTTACGAATCTGCCTCTGAAAGTGGAGACTCAGACGAAAGTGAAAGCAAGTCAGAGCAACGGACTAAAAGGCAGCCTAAACCAACTTACAAAAAGAAGCAGAATGATTTGCAGAAGAGAAAAAGTGAAATAGATGAAGATTTGAAGCCCAATGGAATTCTCAGCAGGAGTGCTAAAGAAAAAAGTAAATTGAAGTTGCAGAGCAACAGTAATAGCGGTACGTAAATAAATACGTTCTTATCGTTCAGGAAAAAGTGACTATATTTTCTACAAATAATGATACACTGCTTCTCTAAAGTTCAATGATGTAAATAATCAACTTCTTCCTTGATTTGCATCTCTAAGAGTTACAGTCATATCCACAGACTTCATTTTATAAGTAGCCTATAGTAGGTGAGACCTGACCACTCAATTTTGAAAAGAGTAGTGTGGATGTGGTCTTTTATTTGGTAACTGGATTGACAGCTATTGAAATTACCAAAAAAAAAAAAAAAGAAATTACCATCTATGCCTAATAATGCTATTTTTCCATGTAATGCTTAATGGTAAAAATTTTTAAAAGGTGGAATCACTATGGTTTTATGTATTTCAGTATTTAAGAATAAGTGACATAAGTGAAAAATTGATATGTAATATATACGTATGTAGAATTGTTGTCATTATAGCAGAGGAAAGGGATGCAGTAATATTCACTGTAAAGTCTTTTTTATTCTGGAAGTAGTATTTCTCAGTTTGCCTATTTTCTTTAGCTGTGTTGTACAATGTTGAAATCATTTAATAGTGTTAACTATATCCATGGATTCATCCACATGCGGTATATATCTCTGCAGTGTGGCTGTTCATTCAAGCTCTTGGGTTCCTCGTGGCTGTTACTGGTCTTTTCACTGAATGTGGTTTTCCCCCATTTCTGTGTGGGAACCAAAGGCAAATAAAGGAAAGAAAACTAGGAGGATAGAATTAAATGAAAAGAACAGTCAAAAAATGGCAGAAGAAAGGAAAACAAGCTCTTTTAGAGGCTAAGAGACTAAAACATATGTAGGAAGAAGACAGGTGATAACAACAAGAAGGATAAAAGGATATGTACTTTTTATTTAGTGTTACTTTTTTCCATATTTTATCACTGCCCACAGTGCCTTTTTAATAAGTTTATTACAATCCTAATTTCTCTTCTGTTTTCCTCATAGCATTTCCTTTGTTGTTGGATATTCATGTATTTGCATTGTACTTACAGAGACTAAAAGATCAAGACCTCCTAACTCTTATCACTTGGGCTCTTGTGGAATCATAGTTAGAAAACTCTTAAAGTGTAAACATACTGTTTTGTCACTGACTATGTGCTCAGAAGTAAGAGTTCTAAGACGAGCTAGAATCAGTGCTTTCTTTCCTCCAAGTTGATGAGTAATTTGGTAAATAACATTTTGTTCAAGAGAGTTTAAGTATCATTCATTTCCAACTTGAATATAGTAAGTAACTATTAATACCATCTTTTAATAATGGGAAAAATTTCTTTGCTTTTGTTTGGGGCCATCTAGAAAGATTTTTCATTTTTTAAGTTGAGAGTTCACAGATCGAAGAGCTTTTTAACCTTGAGTATAACACCTATTTCATAGATTAAGGATGATCTTTGCTATCCTTTTCAGTGAAATTATTACTGTTTTTGTTATGTGTTGTCCAGTTTGCAACTCAGTAGCAGCCCTATGTACAACAGCTCTGAAGGCTGCCCTGTCCTGAGCCAGTCTCATTGATTCCGACACACCTACCTCCATCACTGTATCAGTCCTTCTCATCTGGGGTCTTTTCTCTCCTTCGCTGTCCCTCCACCCTCCTGAGCTTGATATCCTTTTCCAGGAACTAGTCCTTCCTGGCCACATGCCCAAAGTATGTGAGATGGAGTTTCAAATTCCTAGTCTTCAAGGAGATACTTGCTTTCACCCTCTCTAAGGACAGACCTATTTGTTTCCTTGGTGGTCCACAGTATGTTCAGGACTCTTCTCCAGCACCACAACACAGAGGCATCAAATCTTCTTCAGTCATTCTTACTCATTGTCTAGCTCTCTGATGCATAGCAAGTAACTAAGAAGACCATGGCCCGGATCACACACATGTTAGTCTCTAGACTTCTCAGTACTCTAGAAAGGTCATTGACTGGAAATTACTATCCGTAAAAATAAGATTGAATGAGTTAGGCTGGCTCCTAGATTATGCAATATACATACAAAATTCTAATATGTACTAATGAATATACATACTGCAGTGTTAGTGCCTTCTAAAACTAACTCATTGTTATGGGGTCAGAACCAACTCATAATTGACTCTTCAGTGATTAGTTAGAGTCCGTAAATCCCAAAGGAAGAGATTTCCCATCTCTGTCTTGGCAGAGCTCTGATGCATTTGCCTTTGGGTTTTGTTTTTTTTTTTTTTGCATGTGGATGGTTGTTGTGGTGGTGGTGGTGATTGTTATGTACCAATGAATTGGAGCTGACTGAGATTGCCCTTCCTCCTCCAGTGGAGCATCTGGTGGATTCGACCACACACCTTTAGGATTGCAGTGCAGATTCTTGCCACCAGAGCTCCATACTATTTGCCTTTGGAATGGTTGTTCACACTTCTTATTTACTAGGTTATCAGACCTCCCTAAATTTGAGCGTTCTAAAGCCAGATAAAGTTTTACATTTTTTGGTCTTTTGGAATGTCTATCATCTGCTGCTTTTTGTTACTGTGATAATTAAAAGTTGTCTCCTTTCCCATGACTAGTTTTTTATGTAATTTCATTTTATATTCTTAAATTAACTTGTTGTTGTTGTTATGTGCCGTTGAGTCATTTGCAACTCATAGTGACCCTATGTACAACAGCCCTAAACCCTGCTCTATCCTGTGCTAATCCCATTGCCTCTGACACACCCATTCCGATTACCCCAGTCACTGAATCAATCCACCTCATAGAGGGTCTTCTCCCTCCTGCACTGTCCCTCCACTCTACCCAGCATGATGTCCCTCTACAAAGACCTGTCTCTCCTTGCAACATGTCCAAAGTATGTCAGACGAAGCCCCAGAATCTTTGCCTCCAAGGAGTAGCCTGGTTTAACCCTCTCTAGGATGAATCTGTTTGTTTTCTTGGCAGTCCATGGTATATTCAATACTCTTCTCCAGCACCACAGCTCAAATAAATTAACTACCAAACTGAAATAAATCTGTAAGCTTCCTGATATACAAAGCTGCTGAGTTTTAACTATAATCCAATTTTAAGTTCTATTTCTTAAAAAAAATCATCTTTTAGTAATTGAGCATCAGAGTAAAGGCTTCTCTTTGTGTCTCTTATTCTCTTCCCCAGTGCTGTGTTGCTAGAGCTGCTGAATTTTCTAGTAAATCGTAAAAGTTCTTAGGGTAAAAGGAAGCAGAAATGTTCCTAAGTTTCTGGTGTTTTTCCTCCTTGTCCAGGTATCTTAGTACAAAACTTTCAGATGTCCTAAAAGATTAGATACATACATACATTTGGAGGATAAGTTTTATTTACCATATATTTACACTGTTTTATAAAAGGAGTTTGTTATAACTGTGTGTGACCAGACTAGAAGAAATTATAATACCAAAAGCTGTCAGGTTGACCTGGTCCTTCGTATCTTTGTAATTCCTTTATTTAAAAAAATACTTTAGCGGTCCCCTTTTGTTGTTGATACAAGATCTTTTTTTAGGTTGTCTTATTCTTTATTATTTTATTCATTTATATTAGTCCTACAAATTTTTTCAACAAGTAGTAGTCCATTCTGTTTAATTTGTTCGGTCCTGTGGAGTTGAAAGTGTATTGGTTAAAAGCTGTTTCTGTCTATTCAGAATGCATGTTTAGTTTTGCTTTAAGGTAAATGATTAGAAGAAATTGTAATAAAAATCCACTGCCGCTGTTTGTTGCCATCGAGTCAGAATTGACTCTTTTTTTTTCCTTTCCCCCCAAGTTTTTGTGTGAGTGTACCGTCAAATCAGATCTGACTGGTATGGGAGGAGATTGTCCCTCCTTTCCTGGCAGAGCATCTGGTGGATTTGAACCGTGCGCCTCTGGGATTGTAGTTGGAGCTCCTTGCCACTAGGCCACCAGAGCTCCCCTAGAATTGACTCTTAGCTGGCCCTCCAGCAGGTTTACTGAAGCAGTAAATTGCATGGGAGGAGATTTCCCCATCCCTCTCGAGGAGCCGCTGGTGGATTTGAACCACATTCCTGATCCTTACCACTAGGCCAGCAGAATTCCCCCTCTGGCAACAATTTCCCTCCGTAAGTATTACATGTATAAGCATCCATGCTCTCTTGCATGTGTATTGATCTAATGGATTAAGCCCTATGTCACACTGACCTACATTGGAGACAGGGAAGAACATATAATTACAGGGAGAGAACCAGGCAGCAATCCTAGAAATGGCTGATTTTCAGTGGTTGAGTGGAATATCAATCTGTTCTGTAAACTTTGACTAAATCATAATAAAAAGTTAAAAATAATTATAGTTCTTTCTGTAAAATGTGTGATCTTTCATTAATTGTACAGTAGATGCTCTGAACAACATACCTCTGCTATTGACAAGAGGTTTTGCCCTAAATTCTACATTTCTGGTACACTGACTTAGGAGTTTGGGTCCTAATGATTGGTTTGTTAATAGAAAGCCTACTGTGGACTTTTTAGTTTTTGAGTACCTACAACTTTAAAATACAGCTCTTTGTTTTTCTCCGATCTTAGTATAGTGTTAAAATTATATAATTTATTTTAATTCATCCACGGAATAAACATTTCTGCAAAACATTTATGCTAATTCTTCCCTACTAATTTTACAGCTGGCATCCCTCGTTCAGTATTAAAAGATTGGCGTAAAGTCAAGAAGCTAAAACAAACTGGGGAGTCATTTTTACAGGATGATTCCTGCTGTGAGATAGGGCCTAATTTACAGAAGTGCCGAGAATGTAGACTTATTCGGAGTAAAAAAGGAGAAGAACCAACTCACTCACCAGTATTTTGTAGGTTTTACTACTTTAGACGGTAAGTGAAGATACATGACCACAGTATTTATAATCAGTTTAATTGTAATTTGTTAAAAAAATGTAGTTCATTGAAACTTTAGATCAAATTTTAGTGCTTTTAACTCTTTAATCAAATATTTATTCACATGACTTAACTTTTCCATATGACCCTCTTCTAAGAGATTTGTTTTAATTTCTGTACTTTGAACAAATCAATGTAGAATATATATTACAGCTTTAGCTAGTAAGCACAGGTTGTATAACTAGGTTACTTAAAATTGAGAAATTCACTGTAAAGTTAGTGGAATATCAATACTTTCATTAAATATACATTTAACATTTATAAATCCAGAAAAATGTCATTATATAAATAAGGATTTGTTTGTACCATGTCTTATTTCACGCATTTTTCTTGTTAAAAGTAAAATCCATTTTTTATATAGCTGTTGTTATCCTAATATTAGCATTACTTAATTAATGCTTTAGTAGGTTTTTTAAGAGTAAGAGTTCAATTAAAAAATAATAATCTAGCCAGTAAGAATATTTAAGAGCCATGCTAATATAAAGTGTGTGGTTGCTTAACCAAAGTGTTGGGAATTTGAACTGAATAACCACTTCACTTAAGAAGGGTGTGGAAGTCTGCTTCTGCACGTATACAGCTTTGGAAACTGTATAGAATAGGCTTACTCTGTCCTAGATTTATCAAAAGTTGAATTAGAATTCTTAGCAGTTGGTTTATTTGTTTTTGTTAAATGAGTTTCATAGTGGTTGCAGTAATCAATAGTGTCAGTAGTCTGGCAGGTGAAACTCATCCAGCAGCTCTGTGGAAGAAAAGACATGTTTATCTGCTTCCTAAAGATAACAGCCTTAGAAAAGCCCATAATGCAGTTCTACTCTGCCTCTTGGGATTGATACCAGTCAGAATTTACTCCACATCATTTAACAACAGCTTAACGTTTCCTATTCTAAAATCAGCCATTCCTAGCTTTGAATCCCAGTTCTGCTCTTTATTTTATGTGTGGCTTTATTAACTGCATTAAGACCTCTAAGCATAGTTCAGCTTCAAAATGTGAACAGCAGTGCTACATGTCTCATAAGAATTCATGAAGATTAAAGGGTGTAGAGAAAAAAGAAATGTCATTAATGTTGCTGGCTCTGGTATTCTCATAGTCATTATCTTCCTAAGAAGTTAAGGAATGCTTGCATTTAAGTCACTTTTTTAGTTTAAGTGAAAAGAAACCTTACATTAAAAATTGTAGAAGTAGTGGTAGTAGAGCCTCTTTCTATATTAAGTGTTGGGCTAATAACTTGAAAATTGGTAGTTTGAATTCAGTTGTTTTTCTAAGAATGCAAGACTTGTGGAGACTGTTTGCTTCAAGGAAAATGTATATCCTTGTGCTTGTTCTCTGTCCTGTAGGATCTCCACCTGGCACCACTCAGTCAGTTAGTAAGATGAAATTTAGTTTAAAAGGACAGATGGAGAGTAACAGAAGTATGGAAAATAGAGAAATAAGTAATATTATAATTACATGCTTAAAAATACAGAATACCCTGTAATAAATTTTAGACATCTTCAGTTGTTAATAAGAGTGAAGAAAATTAATAGAAAGTAATTGAGTACTAACCACCAGCCAGTAAAGAGAACAGCAATTTGTCATTCTGATTACCCTAAACTTGACCAAATAAACAAATGTAAGAATCTATTAGAAGATACAATGAAATTGGGTTTCCAAGATTACTGACTTCTCATTCATACTTTTCTACAAAACTTTATTGATATTACTATAATTAGAGAAAAGGGTATGATTGCTAGGCTCTTTTTTTTTTAATCCTAGTGGGGTGCTGATTTGGTTTATATATAAATTCTCTTATTGGCAATGCTGTTTATTGCTATTTGCTTAAAGACTGTAAGTCCTTTTAATTGAGCATGATAGGTACAGTTATTGAATGTACACATTAACAATCCTCTATTTTTCCTATTCAAAAACATTGATTTATTTGCGATTTAAAAATTTAACTTGTATTGAAAATATACATCTTATGCTTTTATGTCTTGATATTTCAGATTGTCATTTAGTAAAAATGGAGTGGTTAGAATAGATGGTTTCTCTTCTCCTGACCAGTACGATGATGAAGCTATCAGTTTGTGGACACATGAAAATTACGAAGATGATGAACTAGACATAGAAACATCTAAATACATATTGGATATAATAGGTGATAAATTCTGTCAACTTGTAACATCTGAGAAAACAGCTTTATCCTGGGTTAAAAAGGATGGTAAGGAAGGTTTTATTATTTAAACTATGTATGGTTGCACAGATTTCCATTTTAGAATGTTTCTATTAATTATGTCTAATCTGTAAAAAAGTATTTTAATCATCCATATTGTATTTTTAGTCATAAGGAATTACACTGTAATCTCGAAGGCACAGGGTTCAAATCCACCAGTTACTCTTATAGGAGAAAGATGGGAATTCTCTGGTGCGATTAACTGCCTCTGAAAACCCAGGTCAGCTGTGGGTCGGTTCTGACTTCACAGTATGCAACAACAACAAAAGCACATGTACTTTTACTTATGGTCACAAGTATTTTCCAGTTGACTTTAATGCTTGATGAAATCACCGTATCATTTCACTGTTTTTCTCCTTCTATTACATTCCTTTTTGGAAACTCATGTGGCCTCAGAGGGGTGAATCCTTGGCTTTGTCCCTCTGTGCTGGCTGGGGGCTGGCTCTGGAGCAATTGCTTGGTTGGAAGACACTTTTTTGGCCAGTGAAAGCCCAGGATGCAAGTCTGGCTTGGAAATTAATTTGGGCCCTTGGGCCTGGTTTTGTTTTAGGTCAAACATTATTCTAAGCAGTATAGCACTCGTCTGTCCATTTGCTGTACAAAGCTAACTCATGGTAGCTGTGATGCTAAACACTTTGACTCTGAAAATGCAATAATGGTTACCTACGGTGGACAGTGTTTGGTGGAGCTCCTGATGAAAACAAGCTGGGAAGCAGGAGTGGCATCCACTTGTGAAACTTCTTACCTCCAGAAACACTCTGAGCTCAGATAAATGATAACAGTTATATAAGTGTTCAGGTCTTTTGTTCATAGGGTCACTATGAGTCATCTAAGACTCAACAGTAGTTAACAACAACATAGAGTTCTGTTGGCCTAGGGGACAGAAAGTGATGCTACCAAGTCAAGGTGGGTGATTTTAATCTGTGGCCCTCAGGCCTGG